TCCCTACACAGATTTGTATATAATGTCAATGCTGTTCTCAGTATGTGTTCTGGTTCATTCTCCAGCAGAACATATACCCCTGCTGATATATTTGATGCAGCACATGTAAAGATAGGGAACTCTAACACAATAAGCTGTGGTAAGACAAACATAAATCGCTTCTGTGTGTGTCTGCATAAACCTCTGCCTTCTATTTTTTTCCAGTAAAATCTCTGAAACCCAAACCCACATAAATCTGCATCCCTCTGTGGAAGACACACCAGATTTAGAGCTTGTCCTTATTGAGTAATGCCTCATTTTGTCTATCATCTACATGATTTGTCTGTGGAATACCAAAGGCACTTTATACTACAGAAAAAAATATGACTTCTTAGTTGTACTCAGCAACTGGGCTGTGTGCTGTATGCAAGTTCTTATTGAGTATTTTGTTCATTTCCATGGGTATAAAATAGTTGTGTACAAAAAATAGGGATTTTATCTTGGATATAATTGTTGAAAAAAATGTTTTTTTCAATGATGAAACTCAAAGAGTCATCTCAGAGGGTCTATCTTCTACTGCTTTTGGCTTATTTTTTAATTTTAGACCCTGTTTCTGATTCATGCCACATTTACTTAAGTACAGCTAAACAACTATTTTTAAATACATCATACTGTAGGTGAAAAGGTAAAACTGTAAAGTGGTGCCTTATGAAACTAGTAAAACTTATCTGTACACTGTGCGTTAAAAGAACTAAGAAAATGAGAAATATACATAGCGGCATTTTTCTTTTCATGGTTCACTGTAGAATATTTAGTTTCATTTTAAACTGATGGACGTAAATCAAAAGAGAAAAGGTTGTCTCAGTCAAGCTAGGAAAGAGGCCTAGGTTTATTTGAATCCTCCAACCTACTCTTTACTTGTTCCATAGTACAAAAATATCTGTGATTTTTGTGCGAGGGTTTAAAGTAATAGTTATAGAATATATATTGATATGCCCAATAACATATTTTTTATTCTGGAATAGAATGGGAAGGACAATAACAAATGGCAGAAATTTAGAATTATTTTAATATTTCTTTTCATAACAAATATTTCTCTAAAATCTAGAAAGCAAGTCAGTCTGTTTTGCTATAAATTTCTCTCAGACCAGTTTCACTTTGGAGTCAAGGAATGTCAAAAGTCATCCTGAAGTCTTTCTCTGAGGACAGGCATTCAAAGGATCTTTTGCCTCCATTTTTATTGAGATTATAGAAGGGCAATTATTTTTTGAGAATGTTTCACCTGAGTCAAATTCTTCTTAAATAATTCAATTCTTGTGGAAATAATTGAAGACATGTTTTGGCACTAACAGCACAGAGAAAATGATTTAATCTGTTTGGTGTCCATGGGAAAAAAGCTGAAGTAAACCAGTGAACAATTCATGATAACAGATCTGCATTAGAGTTTAGAGCTAAGCAGGAGACTCCTCACATCTGCAAGTTGAATTGCGTGCATCAGATGTTCTTATTTGTGTAGTCACAATAGTTTGTATTTTAAAGGTACTGTCATGTTTACCAGTAGGTTTTACTGTTCCAATTTCCCTCCTTGAGACCTGTTACCACTCTTGTTAATGCTCTTACTTTTCTAAAAATGAGAATTGATGTTACTAATATTACCTGGTATCTAGAGGTCATCCATTTTAGACTCAGAATTGATTAAATCAATTTCTAGTTTCTGCTTGATAACAGAAACAAGAATATCCGGAGATAGAAAGAAACATAACTGACCTGAAGCACGTTAGTTTTCTGAGGTGTCTGAGAAGCACTCTTCCACAATCATTTCCAAAAAACCCCGAAAATGCTGCAAGATTTGCAGCCAAGTCTTCTCTCAAAAAATATTTCACATACCCCCTCAACTACAAAAATATTTTTATTGTTCTATTTTGTTGTGCAAAATGCATCACTGTTTTCAGTGACAGTGTTAAATAATAGTCTACAAAAACCATTTAGAGAATGAATGTTAATGTGCTACTCTCACCAGTCTGAATTATAGTTATCTTCCGTTTTACTTATCTGTGTGTTGTTAGAATGCTTTAGTATAACCAAGACGTAAAGAGTGCTGAAGTCACATTGATTTCAAATGAAGGGATGGTGACAATTCCTGCAGTTATGAGTTACTTTTCTGCATGGGATTTTCTAGCTGGTGAGCTGGAAAAAGAATATTACAAGTGATAAATAATGAGCCAGAGAACCACATCACTATATTTTGTAGTGATAATTTTCTAATAAGTAAGAGTCTGTAATGCCTCAGAACTCTTTCCCAAGTTTAAGACATCTAATTATTCAGTATGATTCAGACACAACTAAATTTAAATATGAAGATTTGTTTTGAGATTGTGGAATACAGCAATAACCTTATCCCTTAATTTTCTGAATTTCGCTTCATTTACTTATTAGCTTCTAAAAAAATAAAAATGGATATTTAAACAGTCATTGTAATTTTACATAATTTGAAAGCCACAACCAGAAAAGTAGTCCTTTGTAGCAGATAACACTGAAGTACAAAACTAAAACTAAATCCAGAGACTTTTCATTATGAAATTCCAAGAGGAAGGGAAATAAAATAAGTAGAAGTGTCTTAAATATCATAAGAGCAAGATCTGGAAGAGGAGATTTATTTTTTTTTATCTTTTCGAAACTACTACATAATTCTAGTACAAAGAATTGTGATAACAGTATACACCTTCTGTATTGGAGCTGTTTTGAAGCTGGAGTTGATGCCCACTGCTTTCTCTACCCATCTTTTCTTGTCCTCAGGCCAATGGAACATATGAAGGGAGGGTAGAAACCAGAATCTGGGCAACAGTTATCTTTCACAACCTAGTAAATACAAATTTTGCCATGGTTAATTTAATAGGCTTTTAATTGACCTGACAGGACTCGCATACCAGGTAGTGTGGTAGTCCAGCAAACACCAGCCCTTTGTGCCAGCTGAGACAGTGGCAGGTTATCCTGCAGCTTTCAAAGTTCCTCTGAAAACCGGTGTGGGTGGCACAAGGGAAATTCTGTGATGAGAAAATATTTAAAAATACATGTGAGGAGGAAGGGATCCCCATCAGCAGCATTGTGCTGCTCCTGGTGGATATTTATGAGTTTTGGTAACTCACAGTGACATGGCACAGGACAGCTCTGCCTGGAGAAGACCAGGAGTCACCAGTCTTCTGACTTGGGAGGGTATTAGAAAGGACACTACAACATGAGAGAAATTCAATGGATAATATTTTTTCTTTCATTACAGTTTTAAGGCATTATTATTATTATTATTATTATTATTATTATTATTATTAGACTATTGATCTTATTGTATCTGAGTGAATGAGAAATATTGTACTTTGAGTAATTGAGATGCTATCTGAGCAAACAGTAAATTTTTGGTTCCATTTAAAAAGAGTGCTCTACTTTTACCAACAACACTTAAATTGTAAGAAACATTTTTGGTAAAGCCTTTGTGGAGACAATGTTATCCTGAGCCATGCTGAAAAATATTTCTCTCCCATTTTTTTTCCCTTCCAAAGTTTTGACTTGAGGAAAGCTGTGGGTATACTGGGCTGAGAAGCAGTGTGTGGTGTAAGAGATTCCAAAGTTAGAGACTTGGGTGCTGCAGGGATGTGAGGAACAGTTCTTGCTCTTAGAGGAGCCTCCTGGTAGGGACAGTGGGATTCAGACACATTTAAATTGCTCTAAGATACACAGAATGCCTGTGAAAATATGGTTTTGGGGAGGGTTGTACTCTGTATCCAGGAATTAGAGAAAACAAAAGAGGCTTTGGGGTTAGACAGCAGAAGGCTGAGGAACAGGGTTGCATTGTTTTCAGTCTTGGTTTGGGAAGATGCAGAAGGGGACACAGGGAAGGCAGGAGAATGTAGTTTTATGCTAAATGGATTTGTACTGTAGTTACTAGAGCCCTAAAGTTTGAGTGGTTGAATGGCATAATATTTTTTCCCCAACTGTTTTCTGGTTAAAAAAAAAAGAATTAAAAATGTCACATTTATTTCTTTCCAAATCTGGAGAACCAAGAAGTCTTTAAATGTTTGTACTCCACTTATTTTATCTTTAGATTTGTGTAGGAATCTGGGACTGAACACCATTTGCTTGTTTCTTGCTACTCCTTCTACATGTGTAACAGTCCTTTGCTTTTGAACTTTTTGCATCTCTCAAAGGAGAACCCTACATTCACAGGGCTTTGTTTTAGGAATTCCCTGATCTTTCAAACATGCCAAGTTGCAGTTGTCAACCCTCTCCACACCACCACATTTTGTCCTGAATATCTTTCAGTGATAGCCAGCCCTAATTGGGTAATCGGTGCTTTCCAGGTGCAAGGGGAGCAGCACGTCCAGCGGTCAGTATCACTTATCTCTTTAAAGAGCATACAGCTCAATCACTTTCTGTTAAAGTGTTCAAAACATCATTTCTCAGGAGGATGCACCCAAGTCTGTGACTGCATCCACCATGAAATCTGAATGTACTCAGATAGGTGTGTACTGCAGACTGTACTTGGTTATCTGCCAAGAGCGAAATTCCATAGATGTACCTGAGAAGCTGTAATCACAATAAATACCCTTAAGATGTGTGACTGTGAGCTGCTAGAAATCCATCTGTCTGGCTTGTGTACATGCATGCATTTTGAATCTTTCTAGCAAGGGAGCACTTAACATATGTTGTTTTAGAGACCTATACCCTCCACTGAAATATTTTCAGATTTCCTTCCTAAGAGAGCGTCTCCAGGTGCTACCATGGGTAACCATCACACAGCTGGTTTTATGGATTAGTGGGAAAGAGTGTGTCATGGTAAGTTCTTTAAATAGGGTTCAATTTGAAGTATTTTCTTCAACTTGACCAGTATTGATGCACTACTATTGTTCAACACCTTTAGATGTGGAAAAGTTTGACATTGTAAGAATAGCTCTGTAAAATTTCAAAACAGGCTTAAAAAATTATCTCTTGTCAAGATCTAACTTGGTTTAAAAACAGCTGTAGTGCAGTTAGATTGCTAATTTTTTTTTTAAATTCTGATCTGGTAGTGTTACATTTTGAACAACTGAGCTGGACCAGAACTTTACTTTTTTTGTTTGTTTGAGTTTTTTTAAATTTTGGGTTATGAAAGACACATTTAATGTAAGAGTCCTTCATGAAACTTCCATTTCATGGAGATGTAGGAAAGTGTAGAAGTTTTTTTTCACTGACTTACAAAACTCAAGTAACATTCTTGCATGTCAGACTACCCCAGAGGACACAGTGCAATATGCTTTCCCGACTTGTTTGTGTACATTTGTCTCTCCAAAAGCAGTTTTCCTGAACAGAAAATGGTCACTTGAAGTCTTAAGATCCATTTTGTTAGTGATAGTGAAGAAATCGGAATCCCTATGAGATCTGAATTTGTGGATCTAGAATTCCTGGTTTCAAGTGGAATGAGAAAAGGCAAATATTTTAAATCAGTAAGTAGTTCAATAATGTACTTCCACTGACAGAAAATGCATGTGAAATAGCATCCAGATCCTGTTAGACTGCTGCATCAGCAAAAATGAATTCTAGTTTTCTTACTGCATTTATTGAAATCCAAATACTATGAAAGTAACAGAAATTAACATGAAGGAACATATACAGAGTAATTAACTGAACTTTCAGGAAAAATTGAGGGAGGTCACATATTTTCAACATTTCAGTTCTTGGAAAACACTTTTCTGGGGCTTTGCTCTCAGTTTTGTCCTGAGTTGAATAGACATTTGCCTATACAAAACTGCAGAGAAATTTTTGAACGTTAAATAATTCTTTAAAATAGTAACTATTACTTTCACACTTCTGTAAGTTTTTAGAACTATACTAAAACCAGCCCTATAAACACCTTCCAGAAGGAACAATCCAATGCAGAATTTCAGCCATGATTAAATCTTCTGGAAAGAAGTGTTTGTTATGGAAATGCTGACACAACATTAACAATAACAGTGTGTGTAGACAAAATGAACAGTTTGATAATGGGTCTTAAAATGAATTACAAACTTTTTTGTGCAGTAGAAGTGATGGTGATGGCATTACTAATTTATTTAACTTTTATAACTGTAGATTAGCACGTACATTTGTTCAGCTGTTAAAATTCACGTACAATTGTTTTAGCTTTCTAAAATAAAATGTTCTTCTATTCCAAAGTAATAATGGACCTGCTAATGGAGTATTGACTACTGCTTCTTGTCATCCATCTCTTGGTGGAAAGGTGATCATTACTTTTCACTAAATAATTCTCAGTTTTCTACACATTCACACAAAAGTCCTTTAACAAGGAATTTATTCCACTTGCATTTGAAGATAGCTCCAGCTAGTGTTTAATACTTATTTGCTCTATTGTATAAAATTATATTTTCGGGGATTTGCCAGGATTAAGAACAGTTTTCTTAACTTTATCAGATTTGTCAACCATATGCATGTCTTTAGACTTGAAATTTGAGTGCTATCAATTCAACTGACAGGGAAAATCTTATAAAATATTGATTTAAAAAAATGTGTTCTGGTGGAATATTTCATTAAAATGAACAGTTGAGAAATTCTTGAGGAAGAGTGAAGTTGAAACTATAATTTTTTTATTAGCATTTCTACATTCTTGAAATAAAAGCCAAAGAGAAGTTCCCAAGCATTTGGTTCTATCAAGCTCAGCACAAGAAGCAGAAAATGCAAGAAACCTCAATTTCCCCACTTTTTCAGTAGGTCCTTGGGATAGTTTCTGCTTCTATAAGGGGTCATATTGCCTTTTTTTTCCTGGACAATCTCAAAAATTGTGAAAAATTTACCCGCCTTAAAGGTATGTGTATGGTTGAATCACCAATGACTAAAGTCAAGCTGCAGTTTAGAAAATGATGCTTAGGAATGAGATGTAGCTCTCCCTGGGGTTAAAATATTGTGGTATTTTCCTAAATTCAAGTGGCATAGAATCCCTGCTTCAGTTAGCAAAGAGTGGCTGAGCACAGTAGCACAATTGTTTTATAATATTTTTAAATCCTCATGATTTATACTGGAAGAGCACTGTCAAAGTTTTAACAGTCCAGTTCATATTCTGCTTAAACTGCCCTTTTTGATGAGCAGCTTTCAGCAGGGCTGTAAAAGAAAGGATGAGAATGGAGAGTAGAGGTTTTAAAGGTTTCAGTTACAGAGAGAATCTGTTCAGTGTTCAGAAATTTTCCAGATATCTAGAGAGGGTGTAGAACCTGTAACCAAACCAAGGAAGACTCTTTGTCATGGAAGTTTAAAGTTAGCTTTATATATGATCCTCCACTAAAAATCATTTTCAGTTCCTGACCTCAGTTCCCATGGCAATCTGTGGCCACTCCAAGCTAAGAGTTAAAAGCTTTGTGTGCACGCTTTAAATGTGAGTGTTCAGCTGTGAGATACTCTTTGTAGGGACTGGCCTTTATTTTGTTACAACTCTCACATTCTGAGTTTTCTCAACAGTTATGGGTGTGAGAACTGGACATATTACATAAAAAAGTGAACTTACTAAATAGACATATTCTTTTTTTTTCTTTTTCTGTCTAGGGATTGTCTCAGACTTTGGTGTAGTCTTCCAGCCTACCTCTGTGGTAAACTTTTACAGATTTTTTTTTCTCCACTTAAGGAATCTCTTTCTTGTCAGAACATAATGAAAAGAGTCATGATATGATGCAAATGATAGTTCTTTATGTTTAATCAGCTATTTTCAAGTAATTCTAGTCAATACTAAAAGAGACTTAACAGTGGTTACCTTGAACTACTACCTGAGATACACTGAAAAAATATTAAGATATGTATTTAAACCTTACCATATAAGTAGAAACTAATGTTGTTGCTTTCTGATTGTCTCTTCTTATGAGCCGACATAATAAATACGTGTAAATATAAAATTTGAAGGCACAGACATTTATGGATAGCAAGAGACATTTATGGATCACAAAATTAGCCATCTACTGAAGAGATTTTCAAAGACATTAATTTAGAATTGAGTCATTGATTTCTTGCAAAAGGCCCTTGTGCCAGCAAGTTTGTAATAACTGGAAAGATGAAATAGAAACTATCAGATGAATGAAATTTATATTTAGAAGCACTTTTTTTAAAAAAAGCCAAACTGCTAAAAATGTGGCATTTCACCTGCACTACATAAATCAAAGCTATTGATATGTGTCTGATCTTTTATTCCCCATGAGCAAAAGTCATCAGGATAGCACTTTGCAATTCATAGTGTGCTACTCTCTAAAGAGATCTAATTGCAGAAAATCTAATATATCTCCTCCATATAAAATGATTTTCATAGCTAATTGTAAGATGCTCATTTGACCTCCTGAGATCAGTCAATCAGTGGGCTGGTGCCTTAGTCGACTTCAGGGGTGGTAAAATTTCCTAGCAGCCAAGTTTTCTGCTATGATAGTTTGAGCTTTTCATCTCTTAGGGTACATCTGAAAAAAAAAGTGAGAGATTCTCAGGCGTTAATTGTAACTTGTGTGGTCCCACATACGCGTGCAAGGCATAAGGAAACTGAAAGGAGCACAGATAGAAAGGGAAAGGTTCTCCTACCTTATCTTGCAGCTCTGGAGAGAAATCCAAGCAGGGGGAAACCCTGCAAAGCATGAACTGTGTGGGGATGTCTGGTTACCCTGTGCATTATTTCCCTAAGATTTATAATTCTTGTGGCAGTAGACTTCACTACTCTCATAAGGAGAAAGTTGCTCTGTGTAACTTGTTTTACTGCATGTTAAATACATCACCTACATCCCAAAATTACTCATCATGCAAAACTATCTAAGCATGAGGGAGATTGTAAAGAAATGTGGAAATAATTCAATTGTTCTTGTCTGCTCTTGTATTAAGAAGTTTTTATTCAATTACTCCAAAACTGGCTTTCTTTCTTGATTAACTTTTAAGAGCAAATGGAGCAGTAGAACAGCAGTGTCATCACAAAATGTATTCAAACCTTATGGACTGAAGATAAAGATTTGATTTTATGGAATTAACTGAAAATGCTCTGCAAGTGTTCCATGGACTACAATACTAAAATGCCTTTACAGTATAAACAAATTTTTAAATTAATCTTATTTTCTGTGAGAGGAAGAAAATTATAATTCAATTTACATTCTAGCAAAGAGGAGAATGTAGTAAGATTCAATAATGCTGTGTATTTGCTCCCAACAAAAAAATAATATAGTTGTCTCATTGGAATGTTAACAAAAATGATTATCAGAGTTCTCATTTTTAATAGGAACAGTATCCAGGTCTTTGATCTGTGACATGGAATAGAAAATATTGTTTACTTACTTTGCTAGAAAAATTAATAATGCATGTTATGGCACAGCATGTAGTACTGCAGAAAGAAATTGTTTTGAGAACCGTTTTGGTCATCTGCTCAAGTAGCTGTGCTTTATGTTTTGATGATCCACCTTTGTCCATGGCCTTGTCCTGTGCATTGTTACCTGAAAGTTAAATCTTACTTGCTTTGCTGCTTGTATTTGTCTCAGTCTCTACTAACATGATTTTCACAAGCACTACAAATTTATGCTGTCTCTGGACGGAGCACTCCTTTCTGCCCCTCTGCTATCCTGTACCCACAGTGATGCATGAAGAGACCAGAGCGGTTCTGCAGAGAGCAGGACTCCATGGTACATTTGAGGGAAGCACTTCATCTTATATCAGTAAGGTCCAGAAAAATCTGCTTTTTAAAATATAGTTCACATTCCCGCCGGGACTGCAGAACAAACAGATATTGGACTGTTATATTTGTTGAAAACATGTTGAGTACGCAGAGAAATGTGTGTGTGTATATATATCTATTCTCATAAACTTTATCATGTGCCTAGTGTTTTTCACCATTGTATATTATTCTTCAAGCACTGGGGAAATTTTTTGCACTATTAAGAGAGAGATAAGTTCCTTGAAGGTGGTCAGATGTTTGTAGCTTCCATTATTGGCAAAAAAAAGCAGGAACAAAACCAGTTTTGTAGATTAGTTTACATCCCAAGCCTCATGCACAGAGAGGAGTTTTAGACTGAATCTTTGTTTGAGAGGAAAATATTTATACTAACATCTAGTCCTAGTCTGTCATTCCTATTCCATTAATTCATCTGGCACTTGGCGCAGAAGGACCTCTACGGGGCACAGGACTGTGTGGTTTGCAGATAAAAGTATTTTTAAAATTAGGGAAAGTGCAGCATAAAGTGTGATTGGGGAACACCTTCTACATTGATTTATAAGCAGTCTCATCTCAATAGCCAATTGTCTCCTGTGTTTCAGAGCTCTGAGGAACATAAATTGTATCAAATTTTGTGAGGTTCAGCTTGGGAAGTCAGCCTCCTCCACCTAGCTGTGGAACTAAGATTTTTTAAAGCCACTACTTCAAAAATTTGTTTTATTGTGGTTATTATTTTAAAGTGATTGTTGTGAGATGATGAAAATATCCAGACAGTTCTATCAAAGAAATTATGTGTGCATTGTTATTTCTGTGATGAGAGAAATAATGCAGATGTGGGCAGATCAAACTGTACTGAAGTCAGACTTTGCACAAAGTGTTTGCACATTTCAAAGCAACAGGGAGATGATCCAAGTAAGATATTGAGGCAGACACAGTCAAAGAATTGATATAATCTCATAGAACCCATGGAATATTTGCAAAGAATTTTCTCAGTTATTTTGCATGAAAAACAAGCCTCCCTTCAGATCCTTGAATTCCAGTATTTCTGTAACACTTGTGTTAGCACTGCTGCTCTAGGGCTCTCAAAATCTGTATAGAACAGCTTCATGACTGACAAGTGCAGAAGAAAGATGCCAGAGGCATATTTCTTGCTGCTCAAAGAAGAAATTTTTGTTTCCACATATGAACTGTCAGCCATGAGCCATTAGGATACTCAAGAACCAGACACAGTGCTGCTTCACATATCCTGTTCCTTTGTAATGCTTGAGCAGACCATCCAGGCCCCTAAGCACTCACACAGCTTCCAGCTACCAGAGAAAGCAACCATACATCACTAGATAGGTAACTATATTGGTCAGAAATCACAATATATTAACATAATTTTCTAATCTATCTAAGCCATTAAAAGTCAGCTAATGTAAGTATGAGAAGCTGATCCACAATGCTTGGAAACACTTTGTAACTTAGTACTGAGCCAAAAGGAAGGAAGTTGAATTTCTCCAGGGCTTGTGGTTTTGTATTTTCTATACTTTATAAGTTTGAAACTAAGTTGAATACTGGGAAAAAGGTACAAATCCTACTGGTTACTTCCATCTAAGCATCACATTACCCAGTATCATCACACAACCAGAATAATTTAAGCTTCTAACAAACCTTGCAGAATCCCTCTTGTAATCTGTACCTATGGGTTATAGGTCTCCTATTTCCTCTAAAGTAGAATAAGGAGTGCCAGGGTCAGGACACCTGTCAAAGTGATGAAAAAGAGAAATAATATTTCAACACTGTGAGACAAAATTAAACTTAGAATATACATGTCTCATGTGCTGGCAACTTAGTTTGGCTAGAATTACTCTGATGCTAGTGAGTACTATAAAGGACTTTATCTGACCAGAAATGTTCCCCTTTGTGTTTTACAGTACCTGAGATAGCTTTGCATCTAATGTTATTGAGCTCAGAAGCACACAAAATGGTTACTGCTGTCATTACATGAGTTAGAGTGAGGCAATGATGTTCTTTTTATTTCTATTGTTAGAGGAAATTGTATTAAAGGATATAGAAAAGTGTATGGATCTTTAATACAGTATTTTATTGATGTTTCATACAGTAAAAAAAAGTCTGGTACCTAAACATACTTTATAGAATTAGGAGTTGAGCAAGCAGTCTTCCTTCATTCTCACTTTTATTTGTGTCCTATATATGTGGAGAGATTTCAGGTCAGCCTAATGCATTACTCACTGAAGAATCTTTCCAAGAAATAAATTCAATAATGAAGTAGTTGGAAGCCCTGTATATTCACACTTGTAAATGGGAAAAGTATCAGCAAAGGCATGTTGTTATTGATTTTGTAATAAGCTGCACTAATTAACTAACTAATAGGCCAGCTGGAAGTCAAAATGGATTTTTTTTTTTTCTGCACAGGTTGAGAGAAGCAACATTACTACTGGAAGTATTGGAATTTTGTTTTATATCAAAGGCATGTGCTGGGAAAATAAACCAGTCCAAAGCAATTGTGTAGCATGGTTTTCCAAAGACGAAATAAATAAACTGAACCACAACAAAAAACTTTTCTCTGCAAAAACATACATGTTCCTACCTGACTTGCTTAAATTAATTTTCTTTACTGGGAGTGCCATCCATTACTTTGATATCTTTTATGGTGAGTATCCTTGATTGCCACTACATACCAAAAGAAGGAGTTTTGCCACTTTTCATTAAAAAAAACTGTTTTCAGAAATGTCAGAGATAATTTTAATATCATTGCTTGAGAAAGTACTTCAAGAATGCCCCAAAATGAGCTTTTTCTGAGATGTCAGCTGTTGAAATAATGATAATAAAAATTTTGTCTAATTATATTGGAACCACCTTTTTACAAGTGTTCTTGTAGGCAAATAAATATATTAGTCATATGTTAAAAGCCAGGGTGCCCCCATAAGTACAAACATTGGAACATTTCTCACAGAGAGAATTTCACAGGTTACTTCCAAGTAAGATTAATTGGACTGATTTCAACTTGACTGGTTTCTGTTGCATAGACAAATAGGATACAAGAATTGCTGTAGTTTGTTTTCTTCATTTTACTGAAATTTCTAATGGAAAACTCTAGTACTCTGAAGCACAAGTATTGAACCTCCATTACTTTGTAAGTGTATAGTTTACAAGGTATTTTGGAAAAGTAACAAGAAATTACATGATTGTTTTGTATTGTACTATGCACTTCTGTATCATTCTGGAGACTGCAGCAAATTTTTAAGTGTTTCTTTATTACTGTTTTGGTGTTTCAGTTCGTGAGTTTTGAGGTGAGCTGTCAGAACCACCATGGTGATCTTCTTTTGACTTCCTTTGCATAGAAACTATAGAACTTCTGTGAGTAATATCTGACTGGGAGATGCACAGTGTTCAGTAGTCATTGGTCCTAGATAAAAAACCCCAAGCATTGAATCTCTTACTTTTAGTGATAAGCAATGTTTATTAAGTTATACCAATGGCTAATTTCACTCCCTGTTATAAAGATGGCAAAAATATATCTATTTAATTTATTAACCTTTAGTCTACAACTTGTACACATCTCATTATATCTTAATTTGAGAAACAGAGGATATAGATTTAAAAATCTGCTTTCTTTGTGTTTTATGTCTCGGTTGCATGCTTCTTTGCAATGTAACTGCACTGAATTAACTTCTTAACTTCTCTATAAAGGAAAGATTAGGATTCTTTGAATGTTCATGGAAGTTTATAATTTTTTTCCCAATTTATTGATATTCTTCCTAAAATCTGAAGGTCATACCTGGATATAATGCTCTAATAGTGGTCATATCACTAGCACAGAGTACAAAGAGGTAATGTAACCTTTCTTCTTCTGCCATGGCCCACACAATAATAAAGTGAGTAAATAATCTCAGGATGCAAACTCTTTGTGCCACAGCCCTGCATGTTGACTGTATGATGTGATGTCTTCAGAAGTGAAGAGTTGTGCCCCATAAACTCACTTCCTGCTTCTCAGAAAATTCACTTATATTCAGGAACCTGTGTTAGTGGACATGAAGATATTTCATGCTTCTGAGACACTTGGATGAATCCTTCAAAATGCCCTGAGCCCTCCTCAAGTTCCTAAGAAAGGGTGAGAGCCACAATTACAGGCAAGTAGCTGATCTTACGGAAACAATAGGCTTCCTTTTAGCACAGTGCAGAGATCCTCCAAGCTAGCTGGGGTTTTGTGCTTCAAGCCAACTCCGTGAGTTTTGTCTCCACCTTAATCAACAAAAAGCTCAGTGGAAAAATTATCTGCTGCTGCGCCATGCCCTGAAATGATAAATGATGCTGTACTTCCTGAGCAGGGACATTCACCTCCAGGCGCAGCTCTGGCAGTTTATTTTGTTTTGTTTTCTTTTTGTTTGTATTTTAAAAAAATTATTTTAAATTGAAATAGTATAGCCACATCCTATGATACAGTATATCATAAGATGTAATCCCTAGGTAATCCAAAGGGTAGTGAGCTGAATAGGAGAATTTCAGAAAGTGTCTAGACCTGCACTTGGTTTTCTTAATAAATGTAGTTTTGTGGGCCTCAAAGGTTTTTTTTTATAATCCCTATTATTACACCTCGGCATGAAACCAAAACTTAGATGACTGCAAAAAGAATCCAGTCTTTTGAGCATGTTTCATAGATTGGTACACTGACTTTACATCTAATAGCATTTAATGAATTTAATGGATTTAATGAATTTAATGTGCTCAGAAAATGTTTGACTGTGCTTATATTTTATGCTGTTGGCACACTTTCAGAGAGTGAAGGTGCCTGTTGCTGTGTTAGACTTTGTAATTACCTCATAGCAAGCAACAAACCTCCCACAGATGATGATTTATCTGTAATACTTTGTTGTTTTGTGTTGGCTGGTGAATGTGATTTTTATATCTACTTTGCTTCCATTTGACCATACTCCAAATGTGATGAAATCTGGTTACACTTTCTTGCTGCAGGACAGAGCAATATGAAATATATGTCAGCAGTTAAATATGAAGTGAAGAAAAATTTTTAATTGTTTTACAGATCAAGACTCTGCATCACAGTGTTTCGTTTTATGCCTACCATTATTATAAACTCTGTTGGCTTTCTGCTTTGGGGATGACAAGATAATAAGATGCAAGCATTGGCTTTTGCCTACCAAAATCTCCTGTGTTGAAATCCTGACAATGCATCACCAAAAGTGAAGTAACTGATAATGGAGGAACAGGAAAAATATGCCTTCTCTTGCAGAGGTTAATTGAAATTGTCCTTTCTGCTTTGCTCTATGTAGTTTTCAGTTTTGTGTTTCCTTCCTTTTTCCCAAGAAGGTAGGAGAATTTGTGGGCAGGCCGTAGTGCTGTCCTTTATAATTTTTCTGAATACATTTTCATTTCACATTACTTCCATCCTGTGTGGTCTTCATGTCCTGCAAGGGTGTAGAATGTTGTCAGGCATTGCAGCATGCTTCATATTTCTTGAGAGTGGATTTCTTCTGTATAAACTCCATTGAAGGCTTTATTGATCCTAATATTTTATCTTCATTAATTCAGCTGGAAAATATTAAGAAAGAATGAAAATGGCATTATAGGCAGAGCAATGCAACTTATCAGGTTTATAGTAAACTTCTTTTCCAGAAAGTACTTCCAACTAATTTTTTCAGGATTTTTAAAATTTTTTTTATTTATCTTTTTTTTTGATAATAAGAATTGCATAGCTTGATTCCTGAATGTTTTCTCTCTGTGGGAAAGCATTCATTACTGCATAGGAGTTTAATTTGGCTTGGTTTACAATATTTTATGATTCCACTGACCAGAAAATTGGTATACCTACATCTTAGACATGTTTTCAGAGATATTTAACACCACAGGTGTGTCAATCACTTTTTTTCTCTCAGTTTAGATGTGTGTTATTGCTGTACTTGTTGTCATCATGTGTATAAGCTCAAAACCCCTCAGTAGTGCCTCTGAGTAGGTAAAGCAAACCTTCTAAGGTAAAGTGAAAACCCACCAACTTCTTGTGAAACAAGACTATAGTGAACTCTCAAACTGGATCTTGCAGTCCTTTACTTAAACTGGTTGTAATTGTTATAGGTATATTGTCTTTAAAAAACACTAGATATCAGTTTTACTCTTCTGAAAACAAGGATGCTGAAGGTGCTAAGACTTTTTGAGTGAGTGCTTGCACCAAATGCCTGTTTGCATGCATAGTTCTCACAGCCCCAGCACACTTTACTGACATGACCCTGGCACTAACCTCACCATGTACGGTATCAGTCATTCACCAAAGACAGTTTTTAGCAGAAGGGCAAAATGAAACACTGACCCAACTTCCAGTTGCATAAAATCTGGGACAATTCAGATTTTCCTTACCTTCTATCCTTGCTTTCATGTTAAAGTTTATATTTGTTCACAGTCCATACTAGAGAACTACAACAGTAAATGCTGTGAATGTCTTTAGTCTTTATTGTTTCAGTATGTCAAGTAAAGGTTTACAGACCCTGCTGAGTTGTGATAGAATGAAAGATAGATCATTAATGTCATTAATAATATATAACTTGTCATATTTGCTTTATAAAGTTCAGCCAGTTTTGATCTTTTTGCTTTCCTATGTCAGCTCTGACATAGTTCTGGATTCTTATGTCACTATTCATGTTGTTATTCAGCTTGGATATAATTTATAATTAAAAAGCCCCCCAGTATTGATTCACTGACTTATTGATCTGTTCACCAAATAGTTCAAATGAAGTCATTACCCTATTGACCTCTGCATTTGCTATTTGCTTGTTTTCATTTTACCAGTCTGGATACTGCAGAGTTTTATTTTTAAAAGGTTTGAAAACAATAGGATTTGAAAATTGTAAGCATGCTGTGATTCTTTATGCTTTTTAAAGACTTCTCATTTAAGTATTTAAGATTTTTTTCTCCCTCCAGGATAGCTATGTTGGAAGTGATTGTTGATTTTGTACAAGTGATATAGTATCAAAGCCCTCCTAGGGATAAGTATCACACTAACTCTGGCTGTTCAGCTCCTCTGTAGCAAACATTTACATTTTCTTTTCATATTTGTAAGGTTTACAAAACTTTTTTTTTCTTGTTTCTGTTGGTAGAAGGGTAATGAGGTAAATAATTCTATGTACTCCCTAACAAGGTATAAAAACTTTTTTCTTTCCTAAAGGAGAAACAAATGTACTTCTTTAGTCTTCACTCATGTTTCTCCATCAGAAATTACAAGTCTGAGTTCCCAGTTTTGCCTGTTAGTCTTGGAAGAATGTAATTTTTTTCAGATGAAACTTCATGATAACATGCATTTTCTGAGCAAGCCCCTTTAGAACCACACAAGTCACTAACTGCCCTGCAAATATAGAGCAAAATGAGCTAAAACATAGATTTAAATCAGATTTTCTGTCTAAAATAAGGAACAAAAAGGTATCTATTTATTTGACAGCAGTTTTAAAATAATAAGTCTAATTCTTTGGTCTTAAAAATTACTCCATTTTTTACAATGTGCTTAATTGGGTCTTTTGCTTGCTTGCTAATATTTTTTAAATGTGAATACTGTACTTTTCCTCTTCTATTTTTTGGAAGCTATCTTCAGTTGCTATAGTAAAATCCATGAAAGAAATACAAATGAGAAATCACCAAAACCCCATATCTCTCTATGTGCAAAGATGTCAAATGCTTTCTGAACTTTTATTACTTCTTCTTGTCCATTTCACAGAGAAAAAGGATTTGACAAACCACTCCATCATATGTGTCAGTGCCTGGAGTTAGATACACACTGTTATTGTGTATCTGAAAATGCCGATACATCTACAAATGCTAGAGAGAATCAGAAAAGATGGATGTAAAATTTTGAGGACCTTAGAGCATCCTGTTTTCTTGTCTGGTTGTTTCAGCAGGACTTGTGATACCAGGAAATTATCAAGAACCTTATATATATAGTTTTTAGCCCAGTATTAATGCAGCCCTGGGAGAGTTGGATGTAACATGATCATCTGTAAGGAGATGATAATTTTAATACTTTTTCTCACTACAATAAAGACATAAACAACTCTGTCTGTTTTTTATGTCTTTATAAAGACATAAACAACATAAGTCTGTCCATTGGGGTAGCATGTCAGCAATCTCGGATAACCCTTCCCAATTTGTAATGCAAGTGTCATTTGCCTTAAATCCTATGTAAGGATTTGGCATTTCCTGGTCATTTATTAACATACATGGGAGAAAATATGTGGTTGTTTCCTTTACTTTCTGTTCCCTTAGGTCAGTTTTATAATTTTGTAACACAATTGACTAAAAAAGAATTATTTTTTATTTATAGCTCTGTTAGTCAGTCTTTTAATTTTTTTAATTATTTTTTAACTTGAGACTTCCTGTATCAGCATGATAAATCTGTAAGTGATTTGTGTTTGGGTATATGCACTGGGGAGAGAAGGGCTTGGCATTTTCAGAGCTGATTTGTAGTCTGGAGTTGAATGTGGTCAGTAAACAAATCTAAGTCTCTGCATTGTCTGAAGTTCTGATGAGACCACATGAGATGATGTGCGAAGTTAATACAGGGCCAACTTAAAATTTCAGATAAAGCACAGTGGGGGAACTGTGGCTCAATTTGATTATAATTGGGGATGAGAACCCAGCAGGTTTCTCTGTGATTTGAAAGGGCCAGATAAGAAAGTACAGAAAAAAAAAATCATTGCTGATCATTGTACTAGTTGCCTGTGTGTGAGAAACACTGAGCATACAGAACTCTCCACAGATTAATCCTTTCCTCTTGATCATGTACTCTATTCAAGTACAAGGTGAAAATATATCCTCTGTACAATTTTTTGGCTTCTTTTTTTTTTTTTTTTACAGATAACTTGAAATGCTGAAAAGGAGTGATCTGGTTTCAACTAAGGTAGAGTTAATTTCCTCTCAGTAGCTGTTGCAGTGCCGTGTTTTGGATTCAGAATGAGAATGGTGATAACACACTGGTGGTTTTTTTTGTTTTTTTTTTTTTTTTTTTAAGTCATGTTTGTCCTGAATCAAGGACTTTTTTCCTTGTCTCATGCTCTGCCAGTGAGTAGGCATACAAAAAACCCCAAGAAACCACAACAAATCAACCAACAACAACAGAAAAAACACCCTGAAGAAAACCTCTGGGACGGTACATAGCTGGGATGTATTACCTGAACTGATTAATGGGATATTTCCCACCACAAAATGCCATACCTGCTATATTAACCAGGGAGTTACCTGGAAGGAAGAGCCAATCTGCATTCAAGAGGAGGGGGTCTGGCATCAGCCAGAGGGTGGTGAGCAATTACATTGTGCATCATTTGGATTTTTTAAGATACTATTATTATTGCTATTATTATTATATTTTATTTTTATTTATTATTATTATTATTAGCCATTATTATTATTATTAGCCATTATTATTGTATTTTGCATTATTTTCAATTATTACTCTGTTCAAATCTCAACATACAAGTTTTACTTTGATTCTTCTCCCCATTCCACCTGAGTGTGGGGAAGAGCTTGAGTGAACAGCTGCGTGTGTTTCATCTCCAGGTGGGTTTCAATCATGACAGGGAGAAGTATTTTTCTCAGTGCTACAGCTCTTGAAACTTGATTGTCTATGCTGAAAGCAAGAAACCTGGTTGCCTTTCAGCTTCTGCAAGGAATCTGTCTTATGAGTTCTGTGTTTTGGCAAACTTTTCTGTCTTTAACAATGCATTATCAGGTGATATCTCATTTCCTACTTAAATACTTTCAGATGTGTTTGACAGTGGAAGCAGTTTATAGTACTTATTACGTGCATGAATTATAGCTGTACCTAGAAATCTAGATGCTTCTTTAATTAAAGCTTCTGTCAGGCTCAGAGCCAAGATTTGATTTGTATGATTAGTCTGCATCTTAGATGAATATTCTTCATGCCATGCAGTTGAATCTACTGGCATGAGTTGTCTTCAATCTATTCTTTATATTCTATAATTAATTAAGTGTCCACAGGTTCAAAGAGTAACTCTACTTAACTGGAATATTCTAGAATCAACTAAGTCCATACTTACCTGCTTCAGTGCTGCTGGTTGAATCTGAACAGTCTTTGCTTTGGTTTGAAATTATGTATGTAGAGAGCTTGGTCTAAGCAGAAAGTGTTCCACAGAACATTCTACTTTTTTCTTCCTTTTTAATTTTGCAATGGAAAAAGATATTGTGTTCAGGAAACTTCCCTGTATCTGTAAGTGCTGCTGTGCCACGCTTATAACTGTCAGTGATCAGTAGGAGTTTTCCTTGGTTTGGTTTTGGTGTCACAGATATGCTGACAAAAGCATTTGGTTATGTAAAAAGCAGTGAGGAAAGAAAACAATGGAGTATATTCAAATCATCAATGTGGTTAAGTTAGGCAGCTCTCCCTATCCGTCCTGCACCATTGGGGTTTGTTCTTCATTTCTCCAGATGTTCAGGATAGGAGATACCTTTTTTTTTTTCTCTGAATTGCACAAAACAATAGCCTTGTTTTCTCCAGGGTCTGCAGTCTAGATCTAGATCTGCAATCTGTATAAGCTTCAGCCTAAGACAGGTTGTTCAGATTAGAATGTGTGAATATTCATCATGTCAATGTGTAAATTTCTCTTACTTTCTGTTTCAGCGCCTGGAAAACGGAAGACTTTGAAAGGGGAATCAATATGTTATTCAACTATGGAAGGTAATGACCTATAAAATTACACATAAAATTATTTGTTCTTGGTAGGATACTTTTGGTTGACTTTGGGATATTTTCTTGCCCCTCTGTGAGGTGTTGAAATGCAAGGATTGTTTTTGTTTGTTATATTTCATTTACCATTAGTGACTGCTCATATAATTAAACAGAATTAAATCCTGTGTCTGATTACATTTTGAGAATTGCTTTTCATTTGGAAAAGAATACTGCATTGGTTTACTCTGAGATAAATGCAAGATTAAATCCTAACAGGTGTTTCCTTGAGGGGGAAAGTTTTGCAGCCCTGTTGAGTCCTCAGGTTATAGACTACTCTGTATTTCTCAGGCAGAAATAATATTTTCTTTTGCACAGTAGAGGAAATCAAGTTTTTCAAACTCTCAAGTCTGTTCTAGTGTTTTAACTACTGACAGGGCTGTCTTTCAAAATATTTCTTTGGATTGAAGGGAGTTCAGGTATGGGTGTAGTTTTTTATGTTGAGATGTCTAAACTATCTGACAATTTAGAATTTTTTATTTTATTATCATCCAGTTATTAGGACAATCCACAGTCTTGGTCAAAATATAGGCAGTACAGGGGTTAAAACATTTAAAATAAATTATTGCATAGGAATTAGATTAGATTCTGTGTCAGAAGATTTGTTATTATGCTTACATATTAAATGGCATTTTCGTAGGAAAGCAGTAGAAATTTCATTGAAATCCAACACCAGTGCCACAAACAATTAACAAGTATTCTTGTTATTCCTGTAATTTACTTCTTTGATTTTACTTCATGATCCAGAATCATGAAACTTCCTAGGAAAACATTTGTGAGCAGAAGAGGGTTTTATGTGTGCTTGTGTATGTGTGTTGGGAGGAATGAGAAGAAGCTGGAGAAGGGGAGACAAGTGAAAGTCGATGAGAACATCAGTATGGCTAGGGAATGCTAAAGGATCTCATATCCATTTTTGCACTGTAAATGCTACCCTAGACATTGTAAAAAGCTGCTCTATCTGCACATACCTCAGCAAATGGTTCCTTGAAATCCACTGTGCTTTGCAACTCTGCCTTGTTTGTAGGATCCTGTCATTTATCATGGGAGCAGCTGTCATGGCAGGGCTATAGGCTGAGACAACCTGAGAACCAAATGCTGCTGTTGTACGTGAAATTTAGCTTAGATTTTTCGTATCTGATCAGGATGGAATCCATTCAGCATGGAAAATAGTCTTAACAGGAAGAACTTGCCGGGAAAGGATTAACAATATATTTGTGAAAAAAGTGAAGATGCATTCAGCAAATCAAGCTTGTGTAGGAATTGGTGAAGGACAGTGAAGTCTGAGAATTGAATTTGCAGAGGAATTGCCATCTACAATCCCTAGGTTTTACTGGAAAAGTCATCCTGATGTATGAAAGATGGTAAAGTCAGCAATTTTTCCTTTGCAAAAAACAAGATACTTTTAAAAATTATGCCTATCTAAGACCCATCTTAGAAAAATGTAATTCCTAGATTATAGACAGGGGTGTACTTTTGTTGTTGGTTATGTATGAGAGGTACCTAAAACTTTTTAGACTGCCTCAGGATCACAGCCTCCCTGAAAGCAGACAAGTTTGTCTGACAAACACTTTGGGTGTCAGTTTTTTACTAGTTGATTCAGGAGAAGTTATCACATCTAGATTCAAATACTTTTTCTTAAATAAAAAGAATTAGCATAATAAATTAAGTTCCTCCCTGTTACAAGGTAAGTGTGTCTTTCTCCCTTCATGCTGTTACATATCTTATTTCCTCTTTGTAACTTGTTTGAGTAAACACTAGCAAATATACAGTGGGAAGCAAAAAACCCACCAGGAATAATATTTATTTTGCAGAGCTTCACTGATTCAAATAGAGTGAAATCTGTGCTATCCTTGTTTTCTGGATGTGTGCATTTTAAGTTCACCATAAATTAGTTGTTTTAAGACCAATGAGATATTTTACGTTACTGACATGCAGCCAGTGTCATAAAAGATGAACAGTGAGAGGGGTTAGACATTTAGGGGGTTTCTCCAACTCATCTCACAAGAGCTTGGAAACAGGCTAGAGTGATGTAATTGCACACAATATTTTGATTGAGGTCCTGTTTTCATACAAACTCTTAAAAGCCATGATCTTGCATAAAAGTTGGAGGTAATAACTAGGCCTGCTACTTTGACTAAAATGAAGAAATTGTCATTAGCTAAAAATTGTTTTGTGGAAAAAAATAGAATATAGGAGAAAGGATAGAAGATATAAATCTAGCATATGAGGTTTTGGTCATGAAATGGCTAGAACTAGTCCAAGAGCTGGCAGTGAATAGGGTAGAAGTGAAGTAAATCAAAGAAGATGGTTGAAGTTACTACATTTGCAGTTATTTATAACACTAGAAAATGGAAAACATCAAAACTTGGCTGGAAACCTAGATGTATAGCCTAAGTGTTTAGTGTGATGTTCCTCATCTCTGAAATAAATGTTTAGCAGCTGATATTGTAGAATAAAATAATACATGTGGGAAAAATATTTGCAACTTTTCTGTGCCCAGGCTCTTAGTGAACTCTTGTCGTATTAAAACTTGTTGTTAGTTGTGTGCAACAACATATTTGTATTCATTGCTATATTTCCTTGCTACAGGAAAACTGGTTATTAAACTAAAAAAAAATGATATGTGCTCTACTAAGCATCAAATATTTCACTTAACTAAAACTGGAAAGTTATATATTTTCTAATATTTATTATTGAATATAAAACTTGTACCTTTATGGCAATTTTTTTTTTTGCTTCAAAGAGTAGATTCAAGAATATCTTTCTATGCACATGGGACTGGTAGTTTTAAAGCATAGTAGGTCAATAGTATTACAAGCTTCTTAAAAGAATCTTCCATGTTTCTGTCACCTACAACCTGAGTGTTGTCTGTTATGGGGTGATCAGTGGGAAAGAAAATTTTACCTTGAACTCGTCTTTGCAAAGCCCTTAATTTTTCTGACTGTACTATCTTTCTGCAGGTAAAAATCTTTATTTATATGAACCATAAAGCAGAAAAACAGTATTTTGTAAATCTGAAAGGCTTAGAAACTGAATGTCTAACTATACTTGTTCATCATGAATTTTGAATGATCCAAGAGGGCAAGTGATCTTTCTCTACTGGCTTTAGTTTGCAGCGTGGTCTTACTGGCATCTAAAGCTTCCTATCTAGTAAGCACAGACTCCACATTCAGTAGGGGTTTGGAAGGAAGACTCATTTGAACTGCCATTCTCCTTGACCAGCTGAGTTCTGGAGGGGTGGAAAATGAGAAAATAATGTATGGAACCAGACTTTTCTATTTGACTTTAACAGCTGTACTGTGGTAGAGGAAACCCTATAAGTCTCTTTTATCATCATTAAGAGTAATAGCTCATCCTTCAGAGAAGATGGCAACAATCTAAACCATCTGTATCTTTTCACATTGCCAAGAGAAGCCAAGTCCTAAACCAAGGAGGGCATATGCTCAGGAATCTCACAGGGAGAAAATCATCTGCCATTAAGTCAGTGGTGCAACTGTGAGCTTCTCCTAAATGCTATTACCTACTGATAATTTCTAATTTGAATGAGCTGTCAGAGACCAAGGGGAGAGGAGACCAATATGTGAGAAAAGATTTGCTAGGAAATAATGTCTCTGATTGTTCTGTTCTCTCTTTCATCATAAAACTGACAAGAAAGGTGTATGTTAAGGTGAAAGTCTGCTGAGTATTTAGGAGATGATTCCGTTTTGCTCTGATTTGCTCTGGTGAGATCCCACCTGGATACTGCATCCAGCTCTGGGGTCCCCAGATTAGGAAGGACGCTGACTTGTTGGAGCAAGTCCAGAGGAAGGCCAACAAGACAATTAGAGCAATGAAGTACCACTCCTATGAGGGAAGGCTAAGGCAATTTAGGTTTTTCAGCCTGGAAAAGAGGTGGTTTCAGGGTGACTTTATTGCAGTCTTCTAGTACCTGAAGGGAGCCTACAAGAAAGACAATTTACAAGGACCTGTAGAGATAGGACTAGGGGAAATGGCTTCAAACTGAAAAAGAGAAGGTTTAGATTAGATATTAAGAAGAAATTCTTTACTGTGAGGGTGGTGAGGCTCTGGAACAGTTTGCTCAGAGAAGATATGGAAGTGTTCAACACCAGGTTGAATGGGTCCCTGGGCAACCTGGTTAAGTGAAAGATGTCCCTGTGCACAGCAAAAGGGTTAGAACTACATAATCTTTAAGGTACCTTCCAATCCAATCCAAGCCATTCTATGATTTTTGAGCTATTTGTAAAACCATCCTAGCCATATATGAAACAGACACAGTGGTTTCTATAGTTCTAAATATATAAACTGCTTGGATATTGTTTCCCCTGTTCTTATGTCAGAAAGACATGGTCTTCTGTGATGCAAGAAATTAAAATAGGGTAAAGAAAGGGCCTTCAAAGAAGTCAAGAGACCATTGTGATCTGCAGAGATTCTGTTGGTGGAAGATATGGCAGAAGAGAAGGCAGGAATGATTTCTCAGTGGCAATGCCTTGCCGCAAGTATTGGCGATGACATCTTTGCAGAAGGTATTGATGGAGGAGGTTTCTCATGCTTCCAGATAGATGGAGTACACTATCCTACATCTAGCAGAGTTAGCTCTAGTGGTTTGGTTTAAAGCATTAGATTTGTGGCAGCATGAGATTCTGTTTTGCCTAATTTTCCTGGCTGAGAAGACAGATGAATCTGAGCTCAGAATTGTGCTGCAGCTGGTGCACACTGCTAAATAAGACATCCCTGGACTCTCTGCAGGACATCACACATGCTGTAATCTTATATTTTCCCTTCATCAGGCCTGGGCTGAATAACTTTCTTTTCAATTACCTTCTAGGCCCTGGGAATGCATACCATTGTTACTGTGTGTGTGCATGCATGTGTAGATATGAAAGTACCACTGAGACATTCCTTTTATGACTTGATATAACTAGAAATGGAACTCAGGACAAAAGTCCTGGTTC